GCGGGGTCCTCACGACTGCCATTTCTTAAATTTTGTGTTTTTGTTGTTTTTTTGTTTTTTTTTTTTTTTAGCCCTTTATCTCTCTCCCTTTTATTACAAAAAAAAAAAAAAAAAAAAAAACTATTACTATTCTTGCTACTGCTGTCGTTGTTTTTGTTTGTTTATTTGTTTGGCCACCCTTCTTTGGGCGTCAGATATTTATTTATTTTTCTTATTTTATGTGTATGTGCATACATATATAATATATACAATATATATAATATAATATAATATAATTTGGCGTGAATATTCTTTGGGAGGGGTATTTTTGTTCAATGTTCGCGGGGCGGTGCATTTTCATTCTTTACCCCCCGCCTTCTCGCTTTCCTTTTGCAATGTGCGCACTGTGATACCTTCATTTCTTTTTCTTTTTTTTTCCTTTTTTTTTTTTTTCAATATTTATTTCTCTTTTGGAAAGAGAGTGTGTGGCCCTTGTGAATAGCAGCAGCGTTTTTACCCACAATGACATTAGTGGCTTCTTGTGGTGGAATTTACTTTCCTGAGACGCCGGTGGAAAACATTCTCACCCTGACGTGGCAAGTGAAAGAGGGTAGTGAGGCAGCGGTGCCGTATGGCTGCGTGGTCTTCAAGGTGAAATCCTCTTCACCCAAGTCGTTTTACGTGCACCCGCGCTATGGGGCACTGCTGGTGTCTGACGGCCTTGGCCTGCCACGGGATCCTTGTAGTACGCAGGTAACATTTGGTCTGCGTCCGGCTGCCACGGAGGTGCTAAGTGAGGCGGCGGCCACAACCGCCCCGCGCTCTGCCACTTCGATAGGTGTTGGCAATGGATACCATGAACGGATTGTTATTGAGTACATCCACTTTTCCGGGGACCGCGCCATTTATGATCGTCTGTCGCAAGGTCTGGCTGCAAATAGCCGGCTTTCAGAGGTGGTGCGGGGCGTGTGGGACCTCATGACAGCAGGAACTCTCCACGCGACGCGAGGCACACCCATCACTCTCAAGGTGTACACGGAGTGTGTCACGAGGGAGAGCGGAAAAAAGGGGGACGGAGTGGTGGTGGTGGTACCACCCACCGCGAAACTGGTAACGCCGGCGTTGCGAGAGCAGCTGCTGAGTCGTATGTCGACTGCTCATGCACGGGAAATTAGTACGTCCTCTAACGCCCTATCAGCATCCGAGAAACACACCCGCGGTGCTGGAACCTGTGAGTTGCGGGCGCTGAAGCTCGGCATCGATGCGCTGCGTAATGAACCCGAGGTGGCCACAACCACCGCTCCTGTCGCCACGGATGACACGTACAACAGCAGCAGTAAGAACGTCCCTCGTTTACAGGCCGATCATACAGAAACGGATATTCTGATGCGCATGCCGAAATTAGATAGTGCTACAACAAAAGGATCAAAGGATGGGGTACCTTTATTTATGGTGCTTGCAGCAATGCTTTTTACATATGTGATAACAATGCTGCTGTTGCGCACCATTTAAATACCCTTATACCATATATTCATATACATATACTTATTCATATACATCTATAAATATATGAGTCTCAGTTATGCTGTTGACGCATTGAGATGAAAGGGGGGCATAAAGAAAGAGGGAGAAATCGCATGAGCCATTAGGAGGCGTATGTATTTATGTACATTTATATACCAAAGACACAGTTATGGCTCACTAATGCAGCCAAGATGGAAATGGGAGGATATCTATATATACATATACATATATTTATTTATTTCTGTGAGTAAAAAGATGAGAATTGAGGTAGGCGAGCAGATCCAGCACACACATCATGATTCAAACCCTTTATAATAATAATGAGAAGAAGAAGAAAAAAGAAAGAAGGAATGGGTATGGGCAGGGAAAAGGGGGAGGGAGCGAATAAAGAGAAAAATAAAGTGAAAATAAAGTCGTATTACATGTATGGTACTAAAAGCACTTGAGAAGGAAAAAAAAAAAAAAAGGAAAGAAAGAAATGGCGAAATGGTTGAGTTCCTCCCCGTATGTGTTTTATGTTTGCTTCTGTTTTGTTGTTGTTGTGTTTTCTTCTTATTATTCTTCTTTTTCTGTGCGTGGGGGGTAGGGAATAGCCGCTGCTGTGACCCCCCCCCCCCCCCCCCCTTT